AAAACCCCGATTAAGATACAGATCCCCAAAACCCCAAAACCCCAAAACCCCAAAACCCCAAAACCCCAAAATATTCCCAAGTGTCTTAAATAAATATAAGATTCAAAATGGACAATGATGAAAATGAGGAGATTTCTCTATGAACCACACCTATAATGCTCTTGCCAAGGGAGAAATCACCGACAAGAAATCTCCAGCTTTTCCCGACCAAAACTCGGACTCGAAATGGTATTGATTAACTCTATTTTTACCTGTTACAAATTGAAGGATAAAAGATTAACCATATAGACTACTCAAGAAAGAAGACTAATTCAATAGCTGATATAAAGCTGCAGCATCTGGGATTCTATAAGATGACTCCCAGCTGCTCGCAAGCGAGCAGCGAGGAGTTCGATACCAGGCTAAGCAAGGACATCAACCATGATAAAGGTGAAATCTTGAAGTAATGTTACTTCAAGTTCTCCTTCAATTTTTGAAATCAGAAGACTGACAGGGAAGAACGAACAGATTAAGAACATCCTTAATCATTCGTCATCTTCGATGACGATGCTTCAGAATCAAAATCTGAACGAAATGAGGTCCTCTTCTCGATCTCGTTCACCAGAAAAATTTCAGAAAGAGTTCAGGCAGAAGCCTGAACAATTTGGAAATCCTAGTATTAAGGTAAAACGACGGATTGGTAAAATCCTTCGTGAGGACTCTAAGTTTGGAACATTCCTAAACTTGTACCTTAACAAGACTAAAATTGTATCAGATGAGCATGGGAACCACCTTGAAGCAGGTACGCAGCCAGCCTACTGTATAAGGAGTTTATAAAGTTTTAGAGCTAATTCTAGCTTATAGGGTCTCCACTTCCTTCCAGTGTACAAAGAATTCAGCTACAAAGAAAGGCTAAGAAGAATAAAGGAAAGAGCAGAAATGAGAAGGTTAAGAGAAGTAAGAGTTATAGCATTTAAAAGAGAATTTATTAGATTCTAAGAACCTGAATCCTTATCTGTTAAGAAAGTACCGAAAGCTAATTATTTTTGCATTTAAGTGACTCAAAAATTAAAGTTTCACTTTTCAAAGTAGTTCTTAAATTTAGGTTATGATTGCTCCTAGACATCTATATAAAATCAGATTTACTATTCTATAACTCTATTAATCTCTCTTATTTCACTTGCCTGGTTGTTCACTCTTATTTAACTCCGAAAATAGAGACAATTCTTCAATACTCTACAAACTTTCAAAATAAGAAGAACAGTGAGAACATCAGTACGCTCCTTGCAAATAACTCTCTAGAAGTCCTAAACCCAATGCATGGGTCAAGGTAAGCCACGACACCTTTTGACTAATCCTTTATAGTAAAATCAAGTTAGCAGGGACTAAATACAGGAACAAAAGGTATGCTCTTGACCAGAGAAACCTTGATCTAAACAGAAGTATGCCAAAAATGACAAAGATTTCAATGATTCCGAGGAACATTATGGTAAATTCGTTGATTAACCTCACGAATTCTCCGAATTATACAGAAAATGAGCCACCGGCTGCAAAGCCGCCAAAGCTTCTTTCATGTAGTCCTCGGAGACCTCCGAGGATTTGTAAGAAAGTATCTAAACTAGCTCTGAATCAAAGAAGCTCAGCGTCCAAATCGCCAATGCCATTGAAAGGGATTCCAGAGATCCCGAAAATTTCACCGGCTGAGCCGGTGAAATTTCCTGCTGGAGAATGCACCACTGTATGTACAAAGCTGTTTTCTAATTATCTATAGACATTGGCGAAGAGGAGGTCTCTTATTTCTCAAAAATACAGAAAAGATTATATAAAAATGGGTACAAAGCCAAAAAGATGGCTCAGGAGCCAAATTGGATCCAAAAATGCTAGACTTGTGTACGGTGGGAAAAGAATCACAGATATCAGCGATATTGATTTATCTGAGGTATTCAAACCAGTAGGAATTCAAGAATTTATCCAACGTAAAAAGATGCCTGAGTGGGGTTCTGACAAAGATAATAACTTTAACCTCGCCACATATTTCAAGAATCGGTTCAAAAGTGAGCTGAGCTTCAATAGTCAGGGCCCTTGTACTAAGTCCATTCCAAAGCAATTACAAGAAATAGGCCAATTTTATGGTAACAATAAAGAAATGTGGAAAAGTACGATTGAAGATAAGATGCATCACTTTAATAATTTTGAAAAATCATTTTATTATTTCTTGTCGGCAACAAGGGATGTCCCTACAGATGCCCTTTCATGGTTCGCCTCTGGGAAAATAGTCACACTACCAGCTCACAGTTTATATAACTGGGAGGCATCATCCTTGATGGTATTGAGAGAGAGTATAGTATGTGAGAACTTAAACACATTCTTGGTCTCTCTAGTACTAGTTCGCATCAGATCATTTATCCTATCATAGCTCTTGTTCAACGAGTGGTGGCTCCCGTTGTCATATGGTCCTCTGAGGAAGTCTCAATGATCAAGATTTCGAAGAGAAGTCTTCTTTCTGATCTTAACCTTATTTAGCAAGAATCTTATGTAAGATCTTTGTCACGTTAGTCTGATTTCTCTTATTTCACTAGAATTTAGAAGGATGACGTACTCTCAATCCTGCTAAAGGCATTCTCCTTATGTATTTGCTTAGGTATCTGCTTGGTGGAATTATTAATCCCAGTGTCAATTTTAGGCTTCGCACGCTTTTTAGCACACAAGGTGTACCTTCTTCGTTTAGATTTAGAAGATTTGGTATGCCTAGCAGGCTTCATTTTTTTAACCGAAATTTCCTTAAATGAATCAGCCAAGAAGTTCTTGTCACGAGAAAGAGAGTTAGACTCCTTGTCTGTAGTAGAGTACTTAATCGAGCTCTAGGATTAAGCTAAAAAGTACCTGTTTATTATCATTCTTGGTGCTAAACGGCATCCCAGAAGACTCAGACTGGATGTTTATGCTCTCGATAGAGTCTCTAGGCAAGAAGTTTACCTTTTTTCCCTCAATATGAGGTGAAATAGTGGTTTTCATACCAATAAGGGAATTCTTCAAGGTCTTATTATTAGTGCTATTTAACTGCCCCTTACTCACGGATCTGCCATAGGTTGTCTTTTTAATACTGTTCTTCTTAAAAGATCTTGCCTTATTTACGTCTGAGGATAGGCTGCTTGCTGTAATAAATATTATGGCTATAAACTGTTATAAACATGATACAATCTTTGCTCTTTCCATTGTTTTTCCTTTGTCTTTATATCAACTGAGAGTCACTGACAATCTTGGAATAGGAGGAGTTCTGGAGCAAAACTGCCTTAGCAATGGCCACCCACCCTTTATCTTTCTTAGGAACCACCCTGAAGTTAGGCGGCGGATGGTCGAACTCTGGGAGAGTTCCCTCTATTAAGTCTAGATTATGTGTATTCCGTAGTATTTTCTCAATATCTGACTTTTGTAGACTCTAAAAATACATAAATTTTATTTTAGAAGTATCAATTTTAGCATATTTCCCCAGAGCGGAAGGATCCTTCTCTAAATTACCTTGTAAGGATCATCCATTTTAAGTGAACGGTTATTTATTTCAGTAATTAAAAAATATTTCGGGGTTTTGGGGTTTTGGGGTTTTGGGGTTTTGGGGTTTTGGGG